ATATATTTTCGTCATCTCACTAATCCGAATGCACCTTGAGAAATATTTCCGAGAAAGATCCAAGAGCTATAAATCATTAAAGAGATCTTTGCAAACTTGTTACTTTTGCCTTTCACTTTTCTCTGTTGATTCGCATTATTTATTTACATACACAAAGTCGTCCTAGTTATATACGGATCTATTTAAAAAAAATTAAATCTTATTCAGTCATTCTATGCCATAGTGAAAAAATATACTACTTTGGACTTTGAATGTATTTAACTAAATCATATGCACTTAAAAAATATATTTGATGTTATCATGATGGGAATAATAAATTAACTAAAAACCGTTGAGAACTGCCGATGGGGTTCCCTGATATAATTTTTTTAAGGAATTTTCGTTTTATTGTTTTTATTCACGCATTTATATATGAAACAAAAACAAGGACAATTTTGAAAAAAATATGCAAGTATAAGGAGTAAATTAAATATTTGACTAAATAATTTCAAAGAAAATATGAAATTAATGACTATTCTAAGTCTCTAGTTTTGTTAACGAGCGAAACTTTACAACCTTAGCAAACTTTGCTGGTTACAACAAACATGATATGAGGTCAAAGTTAACAATGTTGTAATTTTACACAGGTGCATTATGCAAACAAATAAAGTTTTATTACCTGAGTTTAAGTTGGTAAAAAACTAGTTTGTTACAAAACAAATAAAGTAAAAGATACTTTTATGAACCATATAAAATGTTGACGTATTTGTGAACGTAAGTGCGTGCGTATTGTTGTGTATCATACTTTTGCAGAAACTCTTCTATGAACTTCGTGAACATTATGTTTAATCATTAAAAACTAGTTTTTTACAAAACATATAAAGTAAAAGATACTTTTATGAACCACATAATATGTTGACGTATTTGTGAAAATAAGAGCGTGCGTTTTGTTGGACATCATACTTTTGCAGAAACACTTCTATGAACTTCGTGAACATTATGTTCAATCATTAAGCTTTAATTTATATTCAATAAAAATTGTATCATACTATTTATTGCTTAATTTATTGGTTAAAACTATTGCTTCTTAGGGTAGTTTTAGAGTTTTTTTTTCCATGAAACCTATGTTTACATGTTTAAAACAGAAGGTTAAAGTCATTGGCACCAACTACTTGTTTTGGCTGTTAACATTTAAAACAATCCACAATCCAATAACAACAAAAATATGAGTAAAGATATAAAATATACTAATATTGGGTTATGTCTAAAACGTCTACTTAAAAATGTCGTCACATTAACGGTTATTGGTCCCATACAAAATATATGGTTCCATCTTTTAACCTATGATAAAATATGACAGAGTTTCTTCGAAGAAGAATACCGTTTACGTGACTGACTTGAATTACTAGTCGTTAACAAAATATGTAAACTGAATAGTTCATGCAAGGTTGTTAAATAAGACATACCATGTACAAAGCACAACTCAAGTGATCTTCGCAAACTATTTGCTTGTTAATTTCAATTTAGATACTGTGGTGACCATCCATGTAGCGGTGTACATGTGAATAGAAAGCTATTTGCAAAACGGCTTCTACTTGAAAATAGTAGTTTGCTTTTTTATTAATACATTATTAAAACTTGGAAAATGTATTTGTTTTATTGTACTAATCTATCTACACGTTCCTAAAGCACGCACTTTATTGCCTTTCCTGTAGCAGCAACCCTACTCGTAAACATAATGGTATTTAAGTGGTGAACAAATCTTAAGCGTTTTATTGAACTGAAAATCGATGGAGAATCGAAATTCGGCCAGTCAACAGATTTACTGCGGTGGGCGCGTTTACATTTGGTACTCATCTCCCTTGCAATTAGTGCAGTATATTGAATCACAATATTTTTCACCATATAACAATTGAATAAATTTTAATTTTATCATTGTAATCATAAGCCAATTAAAAAGTTATATTATTTTTTGTACACATAATGTAAAACTAATTGTACATACAAAAAAGATGCAAATGACAAATTGGATTGAAAATATCTTCATCACAACCTCGTCTCGTTAAACGAAGCTGTCTAATTAAATAAAGGTAATTTCAACACTGAGGGCGCCTCTATGAGTTTGTTATCTCTCATAACTGTTCCACCTTTATCCCATTTCAGATTAAGTGATGTAATTTAGTAAAGGTTATAATATCTCGTTGTTTTTACAACAAACAGATTTCCACAACTAGAACGAAATAGTTGTTTTTATAGAACCGTAATTAGAGTGGTGAACTAGTTGTATTCATAGTAAATTAATCAAAAGATCTTAACGTGTGTAGTTGGTTAAATTTGATATTAGTATTGTTTGGCCTTTCAAATAACAATACTGTTGTTGGATCTAAAAACAGCGTCTAAGGAAAACAAATAAGATAAAAGTGTAAAACCTACTCGGTAATATGTGTACGAGATTTTATTATATTGTTCTTTTTATTTAACTATTGTATTGTACAAAAATTCAAAATAGGAAATTAATAAATCTGTTAGAGAACGTAATAAACAAAATACTGTACGTGGTTTTAGGTAAAACGAAATAATTATTGAAATGCAGGGTGAAACCTCTTGATCTAAGGAAACGCTCCAGTTGTCGAAAACGTAATTGCACTAAAATGATTTAAAATTATACTTTTTATGTCATACTTCTAGAAATCAATAAATTACCAAATCTTTATATCCTTTAAACATAATTCATAATCTGTATATTAAACAGAAACGTTGAACCATTATGTGTTTTATTAATACAAAATACAAAATACAATACTATAATTTGAATAAAGATACATAAAAAACTTCCATATGTTAAACACATTTGGGCAGTGTTTAATATGAAATATATTTAGTGATACTATCCCATTAATGCAAAGCTTATGTCCAATCAAAGCTACTTATGACTATTAATATCAAAAATCACGTGTGTTCATTATCGTTGAAAGCTAATCCCAAAGAGGAAATATTGAATTATACATAAAAATTAAATAAAACATAATATTATGTAGATAAAAATAAGTTCTTGACAAACCGGATGATTTGTTTTGAAAGTGATGTTCCAAATAATTGGTTTAGTTGGAAAACATTATGTAAATTTAAACGTAATTTGAATGAGAATTATTATTATTCTATTCAAACAGTTTATATTTGAAATGAGTGGTTACATTTTGGAGACAATTTAAAGCTGCAGACGAATATCCATACAAATTAATTTATATAGGGTGTGATTTTCATTTCATTTTTTGGACTCACTTTTTAAGGAAACCCCAAGATTCTATGTTATTAGCCTTACTTCCTACACTTCAAAACCGATCAGCTAATATGCACTTTAGCATTGTTTTCCACGCGGCATCGTGTTATTGGGAATTTATTATGAATAATACGCAAAATAGTGTTTTTACAAGTTCAACTATTGGAGTAAGACGGATCATAGCTGTTCCTTAAGGATGAGAAATCTACTAAGGGAGTATGTTTTATATGGTATAGGCCTACAACCTGAACCCGTAGCCGTTCCGAGAGTTGTATGGCCATACAGTATTATTCGTTCGTAAAAATGTTTGTTTGTGTTAACTTATGTTATTTATTCCCCTCTTTATGTGTTTTGAGTACTTTATGACGACCTCCTAGGAGCGACAACCACGTCTAGGGTTGTTTTAGGCCCACAGTAGTTTTTCCCCAAATTATTGGATTAATATGTTTGCTTCACTCAATATTGAATGCAGACATATTGCAAGCATTTTACACCCTAGTCATTATAAAGTCCTTAATACTGAAACATTAAGGGGAAAGCAAACGTAAATCTGCATTAACGACAATTGTGTATTTGTGAACATAATAGGATTATCCTTAAATACTCTATTTGATGACTTATGCAACTGCAAAAGGTATACAGTATAAATTTGATTAATCTACTCAATAAAAAAGAGTGCAGTTTTCAATCATACGGTGATTTATCAATCCGCTATTCCCACTGCAATAGAATTAATCAGGAAATCGACAGAGCCAAGTATGACAAATTTATGTTTTATTCAGTTTGACCGTTTGTCGATAGTAGCGCTTTAATTGAGTATCTTTCTAGTAAAATTCAGATTGATGGTAACAAACATAGTAGGACTGAAAATTCTATTTTTGATAAAGATTGAATTGAACCATTAGAGTCGTTACATCCATAAAATCAACAATTGTGTAATGTAGTAACTAGTAAGGACTTATATGAAATCTTACTTTATAAATGCAACTTAAAATTTTTGTATAAAAAAATGTATTTTTGCTGCGTCATAATATCAACTTACGAAAACAAAGAGCAAAACTGTGCCAGTTTCTAATCAAAAAACATTTTATTGCAGTAAAATTATCAATATATGTAAATATATAGATTTACGAGATTTGAATTCAAATTTTTTTCTCCGGTATTAAATAAAAACCTAATTTACTTTATTAATTATTAAAACGTTTACATAATCTTCATAATGGATACAAATGAAATAATATGCTATCTATTTTTAAGTATTTAAATTATTCCTGTTACATCGTAAAAGTAAATATATTGATTACCATGTAGATCAACATTGAATTAAACGCTAATAACACCAAAAGGTACAGTGTAACCCTTGTATTCCCAAATCTTACACGTTAATTAATAATTAATTAACAGTAATTGATTAGTTTAATTTAAAAAAAATAATCTTTATATTCTAATATAAATCAATAAAACACTAAAAAATATCCAAAAACACGTTTAAATGTCGTTGGATATCAATGAATACTTTTTATATGTGAATTTTGTTGTTGTATTACCAAAAAGTGATCAGATTTGAACTAAATAATTTACAATTAAAAATCCACATGTTGTTCATACAAGTTTTTAGCTAGTGTCTTTATGTAGGGAAATATTGAAATGATTTGTTCAACAATATAAATTTGGAGCAACAGGAAAGTACTCTACAAATTAATACGGGTGTTAAAATGTTTTGATAGGATTATAAATTCACCTGACGCCGACGGAAAGCTGGCAGCTCTGTTGAAGAGTTCCGGAGGCTCATAATTCTCTTCCTCTTCCTGATAAACCTGAAATCATTATTCAAAATTAGATTTTTTTACTTTATTTGACGAAAAAAGTTTTAATTTTATGTATTACTTTATTTTATACAAATGCAAATAAAATTAATATCATGAGTGCAAAGTATTATTTAAATATGTTCTAGGTGCCTTTGGTAAGATGAACACACAGTAGCTTTGGTATTTTCACAGTTGAATATCGATGTTGATATTTGTAATAAATATTATGACCATGCAACGAAGGCAAAGGGTACATTTTCATGAACCCAGTGATAGGAATGTCATGTGATCAAGGAAAACCACTATTCTAAAGGGAATGTTAAGCTTAATGTTAAGCTTCCAATGTTAAGCTTTCTTGAAAATACATCGAGTTAAAATAAAATGTCAGTACTGTAATTTGGGCAACTTGAAGTGCTATAAAAGGTGGTGGCTAATATAATGCGTTGTAAATGCTACTGAAAAACTAATTGGGTGGAAACGATATTAAAAATTAGTTAAAATCTTGTTGATAAAGCTACTCCCTACAAAATAAATGTTTCTAGAGGTGTGTAAGCTAAAATTGTCTTTGAAGGCGGTGTTAGCTTTTTAAAAATCATGTTTTTGCTGAAAAGAAACCAAAGTAGAACATTCAAGAGATGTGCTTGATTTAAGTACCCTATTACGTATTCCTGTAAACAAATATTAGGAAACTAAAATTATATGCAAGATGTTATTTTATCAAGTAATTTTATATATTCAGTATTTTTTTGGGCCCCGTTTGTTAATTTGAAAAAAGGACGCAATTATGTACGAATACGAATTCAGAATGTATTCAGCCTTATGAAAACGACAGAACTAAAGTGATAAGTTGAAATAAAATCACCCGCCACACTTGGGCGTCAACAGTTGATAACTTTATTACTTCGGGTCCCGACTGATTTGATTTAAACGAGTGTGCGGAATATTGAAAAGCTCTTATTAAATGACACGTCATTCAATTTATTTTAATTTTATAATTTTTTTTCAAATTGATTAGCAGGTATACTTTTTGATTTGCCTTGCATATTTAATATTATTGTTAAATTTCTGCAGTTTGACTCTAGTGTAACACATCAATTTGCAGAAATGTGATAATAATATTAAATAGCAACTCCCTCTGTGTACACATATCGTATTATTATGAGTTAAGATGTCCCCACCTAGGTACTGTAGAAACCAATGGGCCAAATACCGTAAGAGAAATGTTTTCACTGGGATAACCTACGGCGTATGAACTACTACAGTTCCATTCCAGATATTGAATACAGATTTAGATTTCGGCCTAGGACCCTGCCTATGAGTTTTAAAATGAAGTATAAAGGTTATTGAGTAGCAAAAACATAAAACATATTTATTTCACTTTCTGAATTTCCCAAATGCTATCCATTCCCACTTTTAAACCTAAAGTGTGAACGGACACTTATAAATCTAAAGATGAACAAATAAGATTGTATCCTCTGAAAAATAAATAATTATATGACACCATTTTGGTTTTGCCTTAATAGTTTTACAGGAAGACTCGTTTCTTACATCATTTTAATGAAGAGTAACCAACGTAAGAAAAATTTCTAAGCAAGTTGCTCAATGAAACATGCGAAAATCAACTTAAAACTTTGAAATACGGTAACGTACAACATGTTTACGTTACTGCTTTGTCCTCAAATAGCAAACTATTCCTAAACAACTAACTACTTAATGCTCCAAGCCCAATGAACATTCTAAATGATAATTTAATATTTTCACCCACACACCTTTGAACTACTAACCTTTGATTTCCACTCAAATTCGCTGTATAAAAGAAAAGTATTTCGTGTCTACATTTTGAGTGGTTAACATTTTGAAAAATAAGAATTACATATAAAAATAAAAACCAACATCATTTCACGAACACGTTATGCTACCTGGTGAATCAGAAGTGACATGTGTCCCAACCTTGTCAAACTTTCCAACGAAACTGTCTGTGCTCTGAAATGCCTCGTAATATCTTTCTCTGACAGACAAACTAGTCTTTATGTAATTTCCTGGTTTGACACTTTAAAATGTAACGTCAATCTCAAAGTTAACGAAATGATTTTTACCTACGACCGTTTTTTTAAAGTAGCCGTTTCAGTACAGTTCTTAGAATTGAAAAGTATCTCATAACAGCATTGTTTACTTTCATAACAGCATAGTTTTACTCATAACAGCACGGGTAACGGACCAATAAGGTTCAAGGATTAAGAGAGGAGAAGTAAAATTGTAATGATTCAAAATTCAACTAATCAGCTGTTCAGGCCAATTTAATTGTTGATTGGCGCAATTAGTGTGTTTCGTTGCATCACTGTCAGTGGCAATGGGAGGTTATAAACGAAAACATAACCTCTTAAATTATGAAAAGTGATTTTTAGTAATTAAAACAATGTCGTGGGTAAAGTAGTGTACGCAACTCGCGTAAATAATGTTAACGACACTCGTAGAAATTTTTAAGGCACTCGCCAAGGCTCGTATTATAATTTTTGTACTCGTGTCGTTAACACTATCTTTACGCAATCGTTGCGTAAACTACTATTTCTGACTTACTATTATTTACTATACTAAATTAAAGATGAGGGTCATACTTGTTTGCAGTACTTTTCCTGTATAATTTAATTTTATAAAGTAGAATTCTTTCAAATCTTTCCTTTTAAAGTTCGTTATATTGTGTTATGTGAAAATAAAAAATACCCTACTGTACTTCCAAATGCTAAGTAAAATACTTAAGTATGCCCTTATAACGCATGATGAGTAATGGAATCGTTTCAGAACAACCACTTTGTAATAGCTTTTTCCCTCCTAACTTTAATGCACTACGATAACTAACAAACGATTAGGATTTACCTGAAAAATTCCAAAACTATCTATTTTTACCATGTTTCTCAAAAGCTGATAGTATGCAATAACTCCTCTGTTGTTTCTACATTCATTTACGGCAAAGGTTAAAAAAAACGAATTAAATTGCAAACACATCAACTGTTTTCCTTACATTAACCGATAAATATCTGTTTTGATAATACATTTAACGTAAACGCTTACAGGTAAGTTTCAAAGATTGTTAATGAGGTAAACTAACAGGGTTTTCAACCGTGTAAACATTTGCCCCAGCAAAGGCAACAACGTCCCAATTTAACTTCGTATCACACATTCATACACTGACCGTTGGCCAGCTCGGTTCATTAGGACTCGTTAGAGTACATTGTTGACTTTGACGGACTCTGTCTGACCCTAAACCTGTAAAGTCTCCTAAGAACAATGGTATAATGTTTTATCATTAATAATGAATAAATAAATAATTATCAAAGAAATTGATCGATATTGCAAACAAAACCAAAACAGTTTTTTATATAAACTTATATGAGCCGACAGGTAAATTTTAAAATTTGACAACACTACTTAAGTTTTTGTACACAGTTTTTTACCACCTATTGGAGGAGGTAAGATTATACCACCTATCTTATAAGTAAGAACGAGACAAGGATGGTAAAAGATTTTAGAAGCGTATCGTCCGCAGTTATTGTAAGATTTTTATTCCATAATAAAGAAACTTCGGTATGAAACAACTTACCGTTGAAGATAATATTTCCCCCGTAGAAAAGCAATACCACTTGATAATTACATCATTAGCATCATGGTAATGTTTATGGTGTATGGAAAAACCTCATGCTTGAAAAAAGATAACAGAAAAAAGGATGTTTGGGAAAAAGATAACATGCTGTCCCAATAACAGTAATGTTAGGATGAAATAATAACTTATATCACTTACACAAGCTTACGCTTGTTAAATTTAATTATTGTAATACTGGAGAGTATCGGATTCAAAACATCTACATGGTATCTTCCTTTCTCTATGACATTAATATGCTTAAAGAAATATAGGCACAAAAAGAACCTCACTCTCACGAGTATTGATTAGGAGGTAAAATTTGAAGTGATTCACGAAACCAACAAGATATATGATCATTATACATACAGGGTAAAGTGCTGTTGTAGTAAACAAAGTATGTTTACATAATTTTATTCGTTAAATATATTAAAAACCTCCTTTGGTCTTGCTTTACCGGTTCCTCAAAACATTTAACGCAGAATTTTGTCCAATAAAAATCATGTTTATTTTTTGCAGTAGAAAAAAACTGTTTAGACGATTGGTTAAGAGTTCAAAACTTCAAGAACATAAGTATGAAACATATTATTATTAATTAGACTGAAACGTGATTTATAGAGAATTTTGCATATTTAGTAAGGTTTTTAAAAATAACACTTGAAGGTCTTCAAAGGAAACAGTAGTTCCCGCGGGGCTTGTACTTGTACATATTTAATTATGTTTCAACAACAACAAAGTTGAACTCAAACAACTAGTTTGGGTACAGAATTGATAGCGACATCTTAGAATATAGCAACCTTATTAAAATTGGATTACCTCAACTAATCATTTATACTATTGATTACTCAGAATTAATTACAGATCAGGACTTGTTTTTAACATCGATGTATATAACTCAACTGGATAGCGCGCTAGGTGGTGGAAAAACGGTCCGTGCCCGCCAATCGAATTGGCGGGATACCGAGGCGGACGGGCCGAATGAACCTCTGTCTTTTACACAAACATACTTTCACTCAACCTGCCCTGCTTCACTTATTTGCCAACGTAAAAATTCCAAATTTTTATTTTTATTTTCTGGAAAAGACAGTGCTTCTTACTGTATAGGTTGTTTTAACCTAAACATATTTTTTATAATTTATTTAGGCAAATTAAAACTGATGATCGTTTTTTAACACTACTAAAAACATGAAAAATGTAGTAAGCGAGGAACTTTTTTATTTTTTGGTCAGGAAAAAAATTCCTGCGGCAAAGTTTTAGATTAAAGTATGAATTAAATTTTTTATTTGAAGCTTTTTTTGATACGGAGTTTCCTTGTACCATTTTTAAGCGATTATATATACGCATAAAACTGCTTAGCGCGCGGCACCGAGCGCTG